GTTGCGAGTTTCATCCTTTATTAAAGAAAATCATTTTGTCTCATTCTCTTCCTCGCTATACCATGGGGCCGAAACCTACAGTGGCGACGTCTGGGGGCGCAGACATATTGGACCACACTGGCTCCAACCAATCCTGTGTCTCTGCGTTCCAGTGGCATGCGAGGAAGATAAGCAACGAACCAGAGAAGGACACGACTGAGCAGCAGTATGTAATGAGCGGCGTGGCCAGCGTGGTGGACTCGGATGGCAGGCGTCTGACGTGTGATTCTGGCTTGTGATTGGTCAATAAAGCCTGTTCTGTTGTACCAGTCTTCTTCCTATTAGGTCTCGGGTATTCTACAGTGCCGGCGTCTGAGGGCTCAGACTTATTTGACCACACTGGCTTCAGCCAATCGCGTGTCTCTTTGCGTTCCAATGGCATGCGAGGAAGATAGGCAGCCAACAAGTGACAGATACTTACGCGATGCAGTTCATAATGAGCGTTGTGGCCAGCGTGGTGGACTCGGGTGGACGGCGCCAGGCGTGATTTATCAAAATGCCTCTTCTGTTGTACTAGTCTTCTTCCTTCCTGGGGTTGGCAATTCTACGGCGGTGTGTTATGACGGCGTATGAGGGCTGCCATCTTGGTGTTCAGCCATTGATCGAGAGCCAGATTCGCGACTTAGTGACAGCATCACATGAGGATCTGTGTGACTTTCGGTTGCGTGGGCCTCAATTGTTTCGAATGGAGCGCCAGAGCTGAAATATCCAATCTTCTCACGACTTTGCCTTCCTATTTCTGGATGCCGCGCCGGAGCCAATGGTTGGACACGGGCAACTCATACCTACTATATAAGCAAGCCCGTTTTCAACAACGAGTTTTAGCCTTGATACTTTCGACTCCTGTCTGTGCCCTCTTGCAATAATCTCTGTAATTGTCCCCACACCCTCTTATCATGTTCATGCATGTTACAAATGGTGGCAGCGGTTCTCGGATGAACCAAACATATTTCTTTAGCATGTCGGTAATGATGGAACAACTGGTTTTTCCTTGAAGTGTCTCTCCGGTGTACAAGTTAGATGAAGATTTCGATGTGTGGCTCGCGAATACTCACGATGTCCTGAGTGCGGTTGAGCCTGATCGTCGCTCTGCCTGCGTCATGATGTTCGTGTCCTAGCAAGCCTCATTAAGGGCACGCAGAGGGGGTGTACGCCTAACATGCCGTATGGGAACCTCATACAGACGTTAAGGGATAAATTCGTTGCTTCCACCGACAGAGCCCTTCGGCTCCATGACCTAGGGCAGCGAAAGTTACGCTATGGGTAGACATTTAAGTGCTATGTGGACGAGTTATATGACATGGTCTCCAATGTATGTCGGGACGAGTCCGAGGAGGTGATTAAGGAGAAGACTGTTAAACATGTTATACTGGGCCTCACAACAGATGAGGTCCGACGGGTACCTCATTGACCACCTCTTGGAGGAAGTCGAAAAAATCCTTGCCCAGGACCCAAATCTGACTCACACGTCTCCGGTTGGTAGCCGCCAACGCACATGGCAGCCGCGAGGAGGTCATGGATTCCAGCCTACGAGAAGCTTAACAGGACGCAGACCTCCTCAACCTTCATAAAAACAGCGGAGCTATTCAGGTGTGTTAGTTCTATGCCTCGCTATATATGTATCATGTCTAGGTAGTAGATCTTTTATATCTGTAGGTTTATGCAACAGATTGATGTATTTTTTAGTCGATACAAGAGCAGGTTTTTCTCTTGTTAATCTTCGTCGGTTTCCTAGGCACGCGCTCGACCCTTATCTAGTGGCGTGCTCTATCAGAGTTAGGGTCGCTATTGGCACCTCGATGCGCAGCAACGGGTGTGTAGATGTACCTCTTGCAATAATAAGAAGTGAGTATCAGGGCACTCTGCATCTGCACACAGATATGTCATATGATGGAATATTGGGGTCCGACTACACAGATCGCTTTGGGGGGAAAAAGAGCCGACAACAGGTTTGTTTGGAGTTAATCTTGCATACCCATAGAACTAGCCTTTGAATGTGCCAAGTAGTTAACGACTGGATTCAACTATGCTTCAGGAATTTCATATGCAGGCTGCTCCTGTGATATAAATTAAAGCAAAAACCGCGCGTCAGTTCTCTCACGGTCTTATTTATTTGCTATACATGGCAGCGTCGTTTATTCTCATTAAACCATAAAGCAAAGGTAA